AATATTATTTTACGAGATAAAGTGTGGTTGTGTTGAAAAAAATGGGTTTTAGGAAAAATGGGAGCGAAACATAGGCTAAAAAGAGTTTTTTTTTTTTTTGGAAAATGGGTTTTAAAATAGTGGTTTTTTTTGGAAAAAGTGTAGTTAAAAAGTAGGAAAAAATTTGGGTTTACGTACAAATTTTTTTTATCGTGAGAATGTGTAATTGAAAATATTTTGTTTTAATGGTTGTGAAACGGGGTTTTAGATTGATTCAATATTTTTCTTGGGTAAATGATATGCATGAATCCAACACTAAAAACTTTAGAATTAATCTAGTGTACATTCTTTGTTTACATCTTAGATAACATCTCAATAGGTGTCAAAATCAAGGCCAATCATTATTTTAAGTATTGGACAAATCAATGGCAAAATTGTAAGAAAAATGCTGGTTGTACAACCTTTTTGTACATGAAGTTACACAGAATATGTACTCAAAGTATAACTTGAGCATTTGATTAATAATAATTGTTCCACATGTTTTCCTTCATCAAGTTCCTTCAATATGTGCTATATTGAATCTATCTTTTATTTTCTCAACACAGACCAATATTCTCTGATCTATTTGTTGTTTGTTAAATCTTTTAATTGTAAAATTATGGAAAAATTTTCCTAATTTATAGGCACAGACCACAGGATTTCCATAATCATCACAGGAGATCAAGTTTTAAAAAATAAATAACTACTCATTTTAGCATAATTTTTGCAAATGCACCAGGATAACCTTAAAACCATATCATCTACTGGAGGAAAAAAAAAATCCATCTAACGTAATTCATAACAATTTTAGCTGTAACAGCAAGCTAATATTACCATGAATCGATTAATAAAAAAATTCAAGAACTTTCATTACGTGCACGACATGTAACAAGGCTTAGGAATGTTGTTTATTTTCCCTGGAATTGTTAAGGTGGAGTACCTTGAGAGAGGAATGAAGAAGGAACCCAAGATGGAGACGGCGGCGGTGGAGGACGGCGTTGCCAAGGCGGAGAGCGGCGGCGGCAGTGATGAGGTGAGTCGGTGTAGGGCCCAATATGGAAATGGGCATAGAGAACTTTGGATTGGATGGCAATCCACTCATCCCCAGTGATCTTCAACTTCACACACAAAAATACCAAATACAAATACAGGGCTGCAAATTCCACCCAAATTCTTCAGACGAGAATATTTTTATTACAGCTATTGACGTGTCTCAATTCAATTGAAGGGAAGGAAGAGAGTCACTCAATTCAAAAAGGAAAAGCAGAAAGAAAGAAGAAGGGGAGGTAAATTAGTTTTTTTCTTCACTATTTTATTTATTTTGGGATTTTTTTTGTAAAATCAAAATCACTGTGACAATTATTGAAAGCCTACAAAGAATACAATGAGAAGTTAGAAAATTTAGAAAATCAAATGGGACATTTTCTAAAAATCCACAAAGAAATAAAACACAGGAAGAACAAGAAATTTTGAAATTATAATCGCACATGCAAGTTAAAGTTAGATATTTGAATTGTCGTGTTGTTAAAAAAGAATTCCTAATTAGTATATTTCAACTTCAAATATCACGATCTTCTATTATAATAAACGACTTTTTATCTTGATATTTTGAAACTTCTAATGCATTGCTTGAATTCTATTTTGTGTTGTGCATTTTTATAGGGCTCGTTTGGCAATGCTTTAAAAAGTCAAAATCTTATCTTCAAATTGAGAAGCTGTTTTTGAAACTACTTGAATAATTTCTGAAAATATTTTGACTGCTTCAAAAACATTTTTCGCCTCTTTTTGACAATCATTAAGCCTTTGTTTGCGCTTCATTTTAATGAAAACTTGAGGGGAAATGAGTTTTGGAATAATAATTTTTTGAGAATGTGTGGTTAAAAATAAGAAATTTTTTTAACTTTATAATATTATTTTATGAGATAAAGTGTGGTTGAAAAAAATGGGTTTTAGGAAAAATGGGAGCCAAACATAGGCTAAAAAGAGCTTTTTTTTTTGGAAAATAAGTTTTAAAATAGTGATTTTTTTTTTTTGAAGAAAGTGTGGTTAAAAAGTATAAAAAATTGTGAGTTTACGTACAAATTTTTTTATTGTGAGAATGTGATTGAAAATATTTTGCCTTAATGGTTGTGAAACAGGGTTTTAAATTGATTTAAGCGTAGCAAAATTGAAAACTTCAATAATTTTCAGAACTTTCGCGTGTAATGTTATAATTTGGTATTCAACTTATAATGATGAGTATATTGGAATGATAAAACATCCATATGAGTGTGTAGAGCAAGTATGGAAATACCGGAAACGAAACAAGAAGAAAAAACGGAGAAACTTTAGGGCCTGTTCTCTTTGGTGTTTTCAGGCCGTTTTCTGTTTTCAATTTTTCAAAACGGTGAAAACGCGTTCTCTTTCCCATTTTTCAAAACGAATTTTTGAAAACATAAAAACAATTTGTACACAAAATGAAAAACAGCCAAAAAGTTGTTTTGGCCTTTTTTAGTCCAAAACGCTCAAAACTCAGAAAACACGGGAAAGAGGCTCATTTCCTCTCCTTCCACTGTGCCTGAGAGACTCAAGCCAAACCCCCGCCTTCTTTCTCAACAATCGACCACCAGCACCACTACCATTCGATCCTCCTCACCTCCCTCTTCAACCTCTTGTCATCGCCTAGCCATGGAGTTGCAGAAAACAGCCCCAATCACCACCCAAAACCACGCTCCCAATCTCGGTTTTCGCCGTATTTCCACCTCCGTCGGCCATCGTTTCGATCGTGGACGACCACTACTCCACTCCTCTCAACCAGGCGCATCCACTACCACCATGGGTCACCTGCAATTTTGTGCAGAATCGAGTGAGCTTGTGAAATTGGATTCCGACTGATGAATCGAGGTGAAGTTCAATACTCTGCATATACTTCTATAAGTTAAGATGAAATTGGAAAATCGAGTGAGCTTGTGAAATTGGATTCTGACTGTTGAATCGAGGTGAAGTTCAATACTCTGCATATACTTCTATAAGTTAAGATGAAATTGGAAATGGTTATTTGGGGGATGATTGGAATTGGAATTGGAATTGGAATTGGAATTGTTTATGATACTTTATTTCTCTTGAATTTCTGATGTGGTTGTTTATGACTTTCTCTTTGCCTTTAAAACTGGCTGCCTCTGGTTGGATGATGAAATTCTTAGTGTAGTTAGATTTTCTTGATTGTGAATATTAGTCATTGGTGTATTGAAATCGGATGGATGAGGAGAGAAAGAGGAAATCATGAAAATGTAAATTGGATAGATAGAGGGTAAGCGTACAATTTGAGATTTTTGAAAAGTTTTTGTTTTTGTTGTTGTAGTAGTAGAAGTTCACGGGATGCTTGGGAGGTGGGGGGAGTTGAAAACGTTGGCAATGGATTGGCACAAAGGTATAAAGAGGGCTATTACATTTGGCTACATAATGTATGTTCCAATGGATTTAAAAAATAGAGGTAAAACTTGGGTTGGGAACATATGTCACAGGTTCGAGTCCATGTGTAATGAGGTTGATTTTACTCCAATGTGGTACAAGATATACTTCCACCATTAGAGGATATTGTGTATTAATTTTCTTAGTTTACTTCTTTAGGATGCCATACAGTTTTTCATAAGACATTTTGTGAGATTTAAGGGGCTTTTTTTCGGTGGAGCAAGGTGACCTTCATGTTGGATGGAAATTGGTCAGTCACAGACTAAAGGATTTCCAAAAATGCATTGTGCTCCCAATTGGTAGCC